CTGGCAGCTTCTCACAGAGCCACCCCTATGCCCCACACCCCCACTACCAAAACCTTGCCACATAAACCCAATACAGTTACAGAGCCCCAAGCTGCAACCTCATAAATAAGCTTGCGTTTGCATTTTAAAAGATATTTGCCTTCTTTGTTACAAATTAAATACTACATTTTGACCTCATTATACCTCTGTTAGAAGTTGCACATGGGATTACTTTGTTATTCACAGTTAAATCTTCTAATTTGCATAAAATGGGTATTTGTGTGTAGCTCAACAAGAGCCTTTTTGGTGGCAGTGCCAGGCTTAAGCAGTTGCTTCCCCTCCTTGTGGCTTTTCATTCCTGTTTTGTCTTACGTGGCAACCAAAACTTCCATCTGGCCATGAAACGAACTGGATTGGAGAAGTGATTAGTTGATAAATAACTAATTTCCACTGGATCATTTTTCAGTCAGATCTGTTTCACCTTCCAGTTCAGGGTGCAGTTGCGCAAACACTTTCATTGAACCCATTGCAATCCGTGCATGATTCCAGGAGTGAACAGCTGCTGGAAGAGGAAAGGAGAGGAGTTGGTGGCTGCTTCAACACCAATATCTGCTGCCACAAAGGAAATTTGGCTTACAGAGGCTTCATGTTGTGTAACCTGCTGTTACAGAACCCTTCAGTGCATGGGGAGACGTCTTAGATTCTTTCATGTAGTTAAAACTCCTTGAAACTCATTGTAGAACAAATTGCAAAAAGATGTGAAAAAAATTATTTTATGAAATGTTTATTATAGCTAACTGTTGTAGATGACGTCAGTAACAGGTTTAAGTTACTTCTTGAATTGAAAGTATAATTTTCCCTAAAAAGACAGAGTTATAACGTTTAATTTTAGTCTTTCAGCTTCTACAAGTGGCATTCTTATTTTTAAGGTAGATATCACATGGGATGAGACGGATCATGAACGAGTAATGTCACTCAGCAGAACTTTTAAAAAAGATGAACTTCTTGACATGGATTTTCAAGCTTATTTGGCTTCGTCTAGTGAAGAAGAGGAAGAGCAGCAGCAAGGTACTTACATTTGTAAATGTTGTCCACGAAGTCATTAGCTGCAGTGTTTCAAACACAAGTTATTTCAATATGTAAATTCCGTATCTTTAGAAAATGCTTTGAATGTCGTTTTTTACAGGGACAATATTATACTCATTGTATAAAAGCTGTGGTCAGGTTCTGCTATGAAAATAACCTACCTTTCCTCCAGAGCTAAACGTCTCCAAAAGTGGCAAATACTTACTTTTTATGTGTGTGACCTAGAGGTGGAGGGAAATTGGTGATGAGGACATTGGTATTTTTTATTCACTCTTTTCAGTTAGGAAATAAATGGATTGATGACACAACACTTGACAGATGCTAAAGAATTTTTTTAGGAGACTCCTAAGTCTTTGAGTTAGCATGTTAACGTAGAAGCTGTAGAGTTCTTTAAATTTACTGGGACTTGACATTGCTTTTTTCTTTATTTCTTTTTTTTGAGTTAAATACACTTTTCCAGTGTTCTTTACACATGATAAGGAAACACATGAATGAGTTTTTAAAATGGTATCTCTAAAGCTACAATTGAGATTCATTATGCAAACCTGATTCTGATTCTCCAAATGAATAATATGACTAGTCTGACACCAAAATTGCTACCTTCTTTTTAAAGACAAAGTACGTTAGCTGAATTTGGAGTTACAGCTTAGAAGAAGTGAGGGTTTGACCGAAGTATTATCACCCCAGCTTTAAAACAGCTTTCTGATTTTCATTTCTGTACTGCAAAACCTCTTCACCTGGTATAATTAGTGTAATTAATGTTTGATTAAGCCAGGTATAATGATTATAATTTGAGAGATTTCAAGTAACAAGATCACTGGTGATCTAAATCATGGCATATTTTCTATACTGATGATGTGAAAATTCTGTTAAAGAAAAGTTTCTTTTCATCATACATTTGAATGATTTCTCTAGAGAATGTGGCAGCTATTTTGTTCATTTAGCGCTGAATGAAGATCTGCCTTTTGGAGAAGTCTGAGTAATGCTGATCAGAAATTACTAAATGGTAGGTGATTAGGAGTTACCCTAATGATTGAGCCCCTGAATAGCTGCTTTCTGAATAGCAGCTTGTGCCTTGGAGTGTAAAATCATTTTCTTCTCTCTTTTTTGGTTTTGGTTTTCTTTTTTTCCTTCTTCCTCCTACCCCTCTCCTTTTTTTCAGGGTACCTTAATATTTCTTTGTCAAGTTTGACAATACCTACTTTAATATCTTCATTTCTGAGATAAAATTGTTTTCAATAGAACTGGAGGTGCTGCCTTTTTGGAGGAGAAGTCCTAGTTTGAAATGTGAAGTAGTTAATGACTAAGCGAATTGGGTACAATGCTCACTGCAGAAATCTATTTATAAGTTAATATAGTGTTTTGTCTTCTTCATGGCCCTCTATACACTTACTAAAGTCTCCACAGGGCAAGGAGATACTGAAGAAGCTGTCTTAAGACTCTGCTTGTTGGAGTGGCCTAGACAGAACATTGAATGCACTCCAGACCTTAGAAGGTCCTGAGGAAGATGTAGATAGTACAAAGGTTCTTCACTCCAGCAGTAGATCTTCTTGGGTAACCAGGGGAGCGTGAATGGCAGTGGAGAAAAGCTGTGCTATGGTCCTTCTGGTACTTCTAAGCTAGAGGTCTTACACAGTGAGGTGAAAAGTAAGCAGCAGAACATATTTAAGGGGACTTTAGAGTGGAGTAGTAACATCTTTCAAATGCTTTTTCATTCACATGACTTCTTAAGAACATAAAAAGAAAATGTCAGCTAACTTTATAAGGTATGTAAATCTTCTGTGCATTGTGGACCAACATGTAAGTTCCTTAATTACCTTGCTTGTCTTCACTTTAAAATTCAGTCTGCTCTTAATTAACTATATATATATATAGCCTAAATTACAAGGCAAAGCAAATGTCGTTAAGGTCTTTCAGACAGATGTTAAAATTGATTTATACTGCATTAGAGCAGGTTGTTGCAATCGGAGATGAGTTTGGAGACTGCAAAAGAACATCACAGATTTTTCTGGTTATAGAGTTGGGAAATCTTCTGGCAGCAAACTCAGGTTGGCAATATCTTGTCAGGGTTAATGTCCACTTGTTGCTTATCTTACATAAAAATGCACCTAAAAACTGTACTTCTGTGAGCTTTATTTTCTCTAGGAATGCTTAGTAAAGTATCTACCTGGGAGCAGCAGATGCAGAAGAAAGCATTTCCATCTTCTTATGTACAAGACCACTAGATGGTAAAGAATAGCATCTGTAATAGGGTGGTGATGAAAGTGAACATCTACCAGTGAGCAGCACTTCAGAAATTTTTAAAAGTAAACTTCTGTTACTGGGAAGGAAAAGAAATTGACCTTAAGTGATGTTATCACTCTAATAAATTTTAAACCTGGAAATGTCTAGATTCTAATGATGTTTTGAAAAGTAAGTTAATAGAGGAATTCTGTTGCCATATTTTTAATGTGTTCCTGACCTTTTGTCCATCCAGTTGTATGATACAAACCAGGATTCCATCTGACAGGATTCCATCCAGCTGAGTTATGTGGCACTATGCACAAATGGGAAAAATCAATGTCAGCTGCTTGAATGGAAATGTAGGAGTGTGATAAGAAGGAAGAAGATGTCCTGAACTTTTATTCATATTTTTTTAATTTACTAAAATGTTTTATTTATAAACAGGATTTTGTTGGCCTGTTCTAATCTGATTTTTATGGAATTTTTTAACTTAAAATATGTGCGCCATGAGTGCTAGTATTACTATTATACAACAGTTTTGTAATGTCAGGTATTTCAGTGACCTGGTATGTTGTAGTTTACAGCACAAAGCCCTCTACTACTCCTGTATTTTCTGTTACTTGGATGCCTTTGTTCCAGTTAGGAAGCGTTTGTGGTGTGCGTCAAATCCAGCCCATAATTGCTATTTTGACTATGAGCACCAGTGACTTAGTGTATGGCATTTTAAATGTTGCCTCAAAATAAGCATTATGGGTTTTATTCCTAAACTTTTGTTCTGTTTTTTTTTTATCTTTGCAAGAACAGCATCTTTTCTGCTGTTCTGCTTTGCACAGCCACACAGGATACCTGAGTAGACTATAAGAAAAAAAATACTTTTATCAGTATATTTTTAATTAGCTGTTCCTGATGGTATAATCATAGAATATCCTGAATTGGAAGGGATCCACAAGAATCATGGAATTTTTGCCCTGACTCCACACAGGGCAACCTGAAAGTTAAACCATGTATCTAAGAGTTGTCCAAACACTTCTTGAACACCAACAGGCTTGTAGGGAACACTCTGTAGAGCCCTGTTCTCCACAGTAGGAGTTTGAGCAGGGGGCACAGTCTTTTGTGGAATGGGGCTCCCAGTACCAGACACTACAAAGACACTGGATCTTCAGTTTTGTGCTGCTGCACCAATGCCAGAGGTGCACAAGTGCAGAGAAAGGAAATAGAGCTGTTGGGAAGGAGGATTTTCTGGGTGGAGTTTTACTTTTTTTTAATAATGATGCTAATCTTCTTTCTAGTGATAAAGCTAAATAAAATCAGACCATTTATTAAATCCTTCTATAATTTTTAAATCTGTTTGGTGCATTAACTGCCTACATATATAAATTTAAATGCATCTTTAATATTTTATCACGTGACACTACGGCCCTTCTTGCTGTCTTAGAAATGAACAGTATTCATATGTGTTTATATTTGCTAGAATTATTACAGAAGGCTAAGAAGTGAAAGGTGACAGAAGTAGAACATACAGTTATTTAATATTGTCCCTGCATCCAATGGATGTTGATAAAATGCATTGAATAGGATATTATTTGGGTTAGCTTCTGTCCCTTATTCCTGTGTAGCTGTTTTGGACACTCGGACATTATCGCTGCTTCAAAAAGTAACAAGGATCTGATTTTATAGAATGTTTCTGTTGGGTTAGTTTTGGCATATTGCTAAAATATTTTTAAAACTGCATCTGATGCAGGCTGCTCAAGTAGTTAGACTACCCTGACCTGAAAAAAAAATGCAGAAGTCTGAAAAAGCCAGACTATAAGGCTTACGATTCATTTACTGTTTTCTGTCTGTACATTCTCTTCTTCCAGTATCTGTCTTCTCCCTGAAAAATAACTCCCAAAAAGACATTGACTGTGATATGCTTTGGATAAGCTAATTTTTATTATCCTGAATTCTAAGTTTTTCCTTTTTTTTTTATTATCATTTGGGTGAACTAATGGGATTTGCACAAGTTCTTGTTCAGAGAGTGTCGAGGATGTAGGGGAAATGAGGTTAAAACCCAGAGTTTCCTTTGTCACTATTTTCTGGCTCAAGACTGAAGTCAACACATTTAATTTTTCATATCGTGCTGTAGTACAGTGCAGTAATCTCTATCTCAGACCTGCTTCTTGAATGCTGGAGTGTAGAGCTTGTGTTTGTCATTCTGCAGGTCTACGTGCACTGTAGGGGTTTTTTGTATCTGTCAGAATTTGAGTAACTACCTTGGGTAGAATTGAGATGTTTAGTGTGGTGTGGCTATCAGCATCCAGATCAGTATATGAATTTTCTGGTGTGCCGTACTAGTACATTATGAGGGGAAATTTTATCTTTCCAACCTTAAAAGAAATGCAGTTTTGCAGCAGAGCTCTTGTCAAATGTTGTGTCTGCTATAGTTTTTATATTCTCTTTAGTTTGTAAGGCTGAGTTTAAAAGGAAAAAAAAAAAAAAAAAGGTGGGGGGGAATCATTTACTTAGCCATTGCAAGTTAATCTTCTTAAACTAAGAGTTTTTGATGAATTACAGCTTTTAAAAAAAAACAAACCCCCCTACAAACTATTATATCGGAACCTTTCTGACCTATATCAGGATTTTAACTTTTTTCTTTTTCATTCTTGTAGCAATTCTGTTCCTACTGTCCTTCGAAAACAATAAGAATATACTTTTATACTCTAAATTTTATCAGCTTTTGCCTTTTTTTCCTTCACAGGTTAAGCTTTTTTCTCTTAATTCTAATTCTCTTGCCGTGCAGCTGTTAATGCACCAGAACTTTGTTTTGTTTGTGTTTTGTTCAAAAGGTCTTTGAACAAGCTATTGGCAGAAAGCATTACTGCCTAATATCCATCAGAAAGTGGTTCCTCATGTTGTGCAACGCAGCGTGATACTTGAAAGCTAGTGACAAGGTTATTTGAACTCTGAACAAACTTTGAGAACATATTCAGCTCATTTTGCTTTCTTGCAGCTGTTGTCAGTTGTTCTTTATTTGCTTACAGAATGAAAAGGCTCTTACGGGTTTTTTGAAGGCGATGTTGAACATTTGACAAAAGAAATGCATGTTTTATCTAAATGAGAAAGTGTGACAATATGCATTGTCACTTAAATGTCTCCTAGGAAAATTAGCAAACACCACCACAAATACAAATAGGTAGCCCCTTACTTAGGGGCTTCAGTTTCAAGGGAGCCTTTCTTAGCTTAAGAATTTCATCAGTTCCCATACAGTATCGCTTTACTTCTCATTTCACATGATGCCAGGAAGAAGAAACAACAAAATGACTTATTTTTCTTCTCAGTCTTCAAAACGGAATGCCTTTTGCTTGCTGTGTGAGCAGATGCTTTCTTCTTAGGAGATCCCAGCTACTGATGAGGAAAATGGAAAAGCAGGTGCAGTTAACTGAGCAGTAAAGATTTCTGCTCCGAGCCAACAATCAGGTTCTTGCGGTGATGGGATGTGGAAGAGAACAACAGTGTCACACCTAAGTTGTAGCCAAAGACCAGAGGTCATGCTGTGTTAACTTGCAACTGTGATCTGCCTTTCTCGACACCAGTTATGCTGTCCATGCAACTCAGTACTGTGGGAAGTGCAGCTTTCCTGCTACACCAGAGAAAAAGAAAGAAGGAGCCTGCCCGAAACCTAGTTTTTTACAGTTCAAGGAGCTGCAGCATCTTTAAAGCCTGTGCTCTCTGAAACATTTGTTTAAAAGCTTATTGTAAATCACGTGTTTTTGTAAAAAAGGGAAGGAAAAAACCCCTTTCAGTCTTGCTTCGTTTGTTAATTCAGCAAGTCACTGAAGATTAAGGCATTGAATAATTATCTTTGTTACAGAATCTTGCAAGGTTTATTTGTTAAAATGTAGCACTCTTTTTCAAAATACTTTACACAACTATTTTTTGAGATTTAGGTACTACACTGCTGTAAGGAACTCTGAAACTAATAATTTTAAAATGCAGTACAGGATGCTGTGTCCAATCAGTGATTTAGTTTGCTGGACAATTTTTTTTTTTTTTTTTTTTTTTTTCAGATACTATTTTTATTTCATCTAAGTAGAGGAGTTCTAAAACTGGTTACTCCTTAGGGGAATAAAAGATGAATATATTTTAGATTGTTTTTTAGAAACAATGTATGTGCCTTAGGTGTGTTTCCTAAACATTAACTTCAACTGATCACCTTCTTGAGGCTCTGATAGCTTTACTCTCTCTTTCTAGGTGGTGATGTAGTTCATGAAATGGAAGATGACAAACCTAGGAAAAGCCAAAAAGATGATGAAGAGCAGATTGCCAAGTATAGAGAACTTTTGCAAAGTATCCAAGAAAAAGAGAAAAAAGAGGAAGAAAAGGATATAGGAATGGAGATTAAATGGGTTCCAGGTAAGTTTTGGGATTTTTTTGTTTACTGACTTGGAGAATATGCACTATTGGTCTGCTAATAGGGACATAGTGTCAGGTGTTGGATTTATAGTAGTAGAAACTGACCTTTCTTTTAATAAATTGAAATCCAGATGGATTACAGTGAGGGAAATAGAAGAAATAATATGACTGAACTGGTTCCTCAGCTGTAAGCTTCTTTTTGTAGCTTAATTTTTCACTAGGGTTTTTTGTGCTTGCTTTTTCATTCATCACTTTATAGATTTTCTTCAATAGGACTAATGTGTTTGCCGTACAGTCATAAGACATACCTACACTATTCAAAATTAAACCCAGTATGATTTGGAAACATAAAATTAGAGGAGAATGGTTTTGAAATCTTGCTTACTTAATGCTGAAGATTTGGGGGAACAAGAGAAGGGAGAACCTTCCAGTGAGACTGCTCTGTGGGAAAGACAGCTACAGGAAGAAAAGTTGGAGGACGTTTTGTTGTATTTAGTTACATCCCGATTTTCATCTGGAAATTAAAAAAGGTAACTCTACCATATAGCATCCTGACAGAATTCATCCTGAGATCTGAAAACCAATGTCTAGGTTTTTTCCCTTTATGATGAAAAGGCATTCAGACTGATTTTTATATTTTGTTTAACAACTCACTACATCCAAAAAAGGGAAAGGTTTTCACCGTGACCTCTCCTCCTTGATCCTGGCCCAGAGCTCATTGTGATTGCTTGTACCAGTCCTGGCACTTGTTACATCTCTTTGCAAGCTTAATTTCATTTGCTAAAATGGCAGAACTAGTCTGGAAGAGAATTTAAAAATCTGCATCTTTTCTACTGGGTTAGTGAGTCAGTAGGCAAATGGAAGCATTTGGTGGATGCTCAGAGGGTTGAATTATGCAGTCCAAAGACTAGGGAAGTGTGACATGACCTTTTCAGGAGCAGCGAGGTGCTGTATTGGCTCGGTATGTGTAGGACTGCAGGCTATGTAAGGACACAGCACCGTGCTGTTAATCTAAATACTGAGACCAGAGACACACTAGAATCCAGCCCTCTCACCACTGATGTGTTAATTCCAGCTAGGAATGCAGATCTAATTAACTGATTTATACTAAGATTATTCTGAATTCACTCAGGTAACTTCTGTTGAATATAAGTGCTCACTTTTTAAATCTTGTTCTGCTCTGTACTTACTGACATTAATTGAACTGAATGGAATAGTTTTATTCCTAGTTCTCGGGAAGATCTATATTTGAAAGTATACTCTGGCATTAAAAATAGTTATGTGTTTTCAGTTATGCATACACAATTCCAATAATTTCTGGCACAAATTCTCCCAAAATTTTTTAGAAAAAGCATATATCATGCACGATAGGACAAGCGCTCGCTAACGCTGCTGTATTGACATGTTTTACTTCATCTGTCCACAGTGTGTCAGTATTTGCATTCTTGAACTTGCTCACTTAGTATCTAATTCATTGTGTCACTGAGTATTCAAGACACATGAGTTTTCATACGCAGGTTGCTATTATAAGATTTTTACAAAGATTTGTTGTTGCCATCTTTCAGACTAAAGGTGGAAACCACAGCTGAAACAATTGCTGCTAGGAATGTATTCTGTGTTTAGATGGGCCAGGCATTGTTTAAACAGTTAGAAAAGCTACCGTTTTTCATGTTGGTTTGAAAACACATCTGGGGTTTTTTGTTTGTTATACAGTCTGTCTTCTGAAGAATCTTGCAAATTGTATGAATGAAGTTCTGTAAATTAAAAAAAGTGTAGGCAATGTAATGTGGTGACCTAGTTAGGAGTGTGGAGCAAACCATTCATTGGAGAGATGGAAAATTGTTTTGAGGGAGACTAAAGGAAAATCATTTTAATCTCTCTTGCACAAGGAGTGCAAGAAGTTTTCTGAAAGGCTCTGCCTGTTAAAACTGTGCCTTGCATCTTGCAAGTAAATTACATTAACATGTAGGAACTGTAGTAGAGATGTAATCCAAGTCGCTAATACACGGGCTCCCTGTTTCTTTGCGACTGAACTTGACTTTATTAAACTGGATTTGTTCTGTATTACGTCTAGTCCAACCCCTTCCTTACTGCACCTTCTTGCAGGGCTCCTAGGACTTTTGCTATATCCTTGCCTCTTTTGAGGGAGGGATGGAAAAAATAAACCAAAAGAAAGAAAAAAACCTTATCCTGATAAATATGACTGACTGTCTGACAGAGTCAGTTGGATGTCTATGCACTGGGCCAGATTTGTTCATATAATGATAGGTTGAATGTGTATGTGTGCGCGATGTAGGTTATAGTATTTGATGTTACTTTAGCAATTACGATTTCTTTTGCAGTATATATTAGTGTTTCCTCATTTCTCACCCTTGAAAAAGAGTTTTATCAAAGAGCAGAGGTTTTAGCAATCATAGAAGTGTTCACTTGCCTTTGCTCATTAGACTATTCACCTCCATGATGTCAGTCAAGACTGTTACTAGCTCTCAGCTCCTGGAATATGGTTTTGTCCAAAACAAAAGTTCTAAAAGTGAAGATGAGTGTCTTAACTTTGCTTTTGAGTCTAATGTATGGGAACACCCTAGTCATTACTGATTTCAGGCAGCATTTGGAGAGGAAGTCCTCCAGACCTGAACGGGGGATCTTTAATTTTTTTTAGTTAGTTAGTTTTATGGTAGAGCATAGTCATAGAATCATAGGCTGGTTTGGGTTGGAAGGGACCTTAAAGCTCATCCAGTTCCACCCCCCCCTGCCATCAGCAGGGACACCCCCCACTAGACCAGGTTGCTCAAAGCCTCATCCAACCTGGCCTTCAACACTTCCAGGGAGGAGCATCCACAGCTTCTCTGGGCAGCCTGTGCCAGTGTCTCACCACCCTCACAGGAAAGAATTTCTTCCTCAGATCGCATCTCAATCTCCCCTCTTCCAGTTTGAAGTTATCACCCCTCGTCCTATCACTCCCTGCCCTTGTCAAAATCCCTCCCCAGCTTTCCTGTAGGTGAAATAGTCAGCACATGCTGAACAGTAGTTTATAGTCCTGGCAATTTATATACAGTTGAGGCTATGCTTTCTTATGAGAGGGAAGTAATTTAGTTATTATGTTATTTTTTCTTGAACAAATGTGCTTATTTAAATTCCAAAACAATTTAGTTATGTTCAGTTGGAGCATTGTGGGAATTCAAAAATAGGTTTTGTTATAATCTCTTAAGGCTCCTTATTTTCTTCAGAAATAGTTTATGTCTGTTGAAATATTTTTATTATCAAGCTCTGCCTTAATCTGCTTGACTTATTGTAAATTTTTTTCTGCCCAAATGTTTAATATAAAAAGAGAGTTAGAACAGTTAAATCTAGGAAGCTTTTCAATTGAAAGGCAGAGATTTGAAGTAATTTAAAAATTTGAGTTTTGGCACAAATATTTACACACGGCTATAGAAAGCATACTTTGTGAATGATTCATTTATTCTTGAATCATAATAGTTTTAAATAAACCGCAGTGCCAGCAAAAATAAACTAGATGTAGTTCCAACTCTCTTTGGTCTGTTTCTTTTAGGCACAAAAATCAGTGTTATATTTAAGCATCCATCTGTTTTCTTAATCATATCTGATTTGAGCAACAATTATGATGCATCCTCATCCAGCTCCCAAAGCTCTCTTTAGGAGGTGAAGAGGGAGAAGATCAAGATCACAACTGCATTTCTTGATGATATTCAGACAGCTTTTCATACTTTTTTTTTTTTTTTTAATTGGACTTGAAAATTCTCCCTTTGGGAAGAATAAGATGTAAATATTTAGCTGAGCTTAAAGGAAACCTTAAAATCTGTTTTCATTGAAAGTGGAATAGGAGGCAATCATGTCTCTGTAAAGTGCATAGTGAACCCCCACTCTATGTTGTTACAGATTGGGGCCAACAAGAAAGCTGGGAAGGGATTTTTTAAAGGCAGGTAGTGATAGAACAAGGGGAAATGGCTTCAAACTGGAAGAGGGGAGGTTTAGATTAGATATTAGGAAGAAATTCTTCCCTGTGAGGGTGGTCAGACACTGGAACAGGTTGCCCAGAGAAGCTGTGGCTGCTCCTCCCTGGAAGTGTTCAAGGCCAGGCTGGATGAGGCTTTGAGCAACCTGGTCTAGTGGAAGGTGTCCCTGCTGATGGCAGGGGGGTTGGAACTGGATGAGCTTTAAGGTCCTTTCCAACCCAAACCAGTCTGGGATTCTATGATTACATGGAGCACAAAAATGCTCATATGGAATATATATCTTAATCTGTATCATTGCTCAGCGTGTCCTCTGACTGAAGCAGTCTTAACCTCTTGCAGCATGAAGCAGTGTGTGCTCAGCACTTGTAGTTCTTCACACCTGACATCTTAGCTGCCAAGTGTGGTGGGTGTTTTTTCCAAGCAGTTTTACTATGTCAGGAAAACTGTCTTGACTTAAGATGTCTTATCTCCTGGGGTGACAAATTCTAATGTTATCAGAATGTTGTCTGCTATTCCTTTCAGCTGTTTGCAACGAAGTGTTCAGGTTTGGTGTTTTTTTTGGCATTACATGCAAGATAAACTTATTCCTTTAGGTTTCCAGAGAACAGAGAAATAGTTCTAGTTTCTAATTGTGACTGTTGCAAGCTGTTAAAACTTCCAAAACTTCTCAAAACTAAGTGTTTAAAGAAGTAAAAATTCTGGCCTGCCCACCCTCCCTCACTCTCCCACCAGTTTGAGAAGCAATATACTTAGGCTTTTTATAGTATTTACCACACTTTTAATCCTTTAGCTGAGGTATGATTTGGTTATATGCTAATATAGATTATCTTTTTTCCCCTCTTCTCTTGGCCCTTATTTGTGAAGATTAAATGCGACTAGTGTGATTCATGTATTCTAAAAAAATTGGTATAGATAAGTGGATAAATTAGCCTTTTCTATGGCCAGTTAATAATTCTACCTAAAGTAGACAATTCCTTTCCCCTTCTGCAATCAAAAGCCTTTTGACCACTTAAATACACTCTTATTCTCGGGAAGTGGTCTGGACAGTAGTTTCTAAGCCATTCTAATCTGTGGAGAAACTCTAATGCATTTCATGAGACTGCCAAATACCACAAGAAAGGACTGTATTTTCCTCCAAGTCCTTCTCTGCCAGATGGATCAAATAATTCCATTTTCCAGGCAAATAAATCAGAAATCTTGTAACCTCCTTTGAGATTTTGGGTCTCTCTTTTTCTGGAGATGCGACATATATTTTTGAATCCAGTATTTACTCTCTTTAGAGAGAATCTGCAAGGTTGATACCCAACCAGTAATTTTTTTTCCCATAAAAATACTGCAAAACAATATCCAAAGGAGTAGCAGTTCAGTTTCTGGGAAGCTGATGACTCTGCTTTCATTGGCTTTGGAGATGAAGAGGTGTACAGTTGGAAATAACTAAATATTTGTACTTGTTGTACGAGAGGGTTTCTTAGTGGCACGTTTTCAGTGAACCTATACAATATCCTTCCTTAATCATGTCTCTGCATTTGTTTGCTGGCTTAGTACCCAGTTTCTGTGGCAGTAACAGTTTGCCACTTACTGTTAATTCTGGCTTCTTTCCAGGATAGTAGAAGGATGTTTTATCTTTTTTTTTTTTTTTTTTTTTTTTGCTCCCCTCTTTTCTTCCTATATGGCATGGTTTAATATGATTTTAGATCTTGTCCATGCTTTGTGTTTCAGACATGTTGTAACCAGCTCTCCAGCCTTTGAATTATTTTTGGAGTGTAGACAAGCACAAGAACAAGAATTGGTGTTTGCAGTTTTTCAGAAAAATGTTCTGCCTGCTTTTCTGAGGACAGGTAGACCTGTCCATGAAGGCTGCCCTTTTTTTTTTATTTTCCATTATGAACTCTTGTTTTCAGTTCCTTGTTACTGAGGAGAGCTGGAAAGAATGATGAGGAGCAGGGACTGGCCAAATGAGAAACCTGGGAGTTGGGAGAAAGAATGGGTTCTAGTCAAGGACATCTGGAGTTGTCCATGTATTCTTTCCAAGCAATAAATCTGGTATGAGGGGCGGGAGGGTTTGGTTAGGTGAGGGCTGGACTGGGATGGTAAGAAGGGGATGCTGAAGAGAGACAATTAGAACAAGTAGAATTGGGGAAGAGACTTGAAGGGAGAAACAGAAACACGATTCCTACATGCTCTTGATGTCCTAAAAGAGGATGTTCACTGTAGGATATCTGACTCATTTGTTACAGAAGTTAAAAAAAAATAGTATGTAGTGAATGAAGCAAGGAATTGCAGGTAGGAGAAAGACACTTTGTTGCTCAGGCTGTTACCTCCTGTCAGGGAAGTGGATTCTCTTTCTCCCACTGAATTTTGCTCCAGTGTGTTGCAAGGTAAGTAATTTAATCTCTTTACATCATGAAGTTTTGTTTTTGCAAGTGCCTGTCTTGTGAAAAAGGGGCTGAAAGTGTATAAGCTGCATCTGAAGTCAATAGTTGTCCTCATAACACAGAAGTGCTGTGTGATGTAAAGACTTTTGAAAAAGCATTCCTGAAATGTGAGGAGTTTTTCACTAAAAAAATAAGATTGCTTTTAAATTCAGTGCTTATTCTAGATTTAAATATTCTAGATGTAAAATGAGGATGTTCCAGTTATTTAATGGATTCTTTCTTAAAGTGATGTTCTTGCACCTTTGCATACTGCAATGATACGTGTTAGGGAAAACTCCCTTCTGTTTCTAGAGTAGTGTTCAGTTATGTTTGGTAACTTTGCTATACACCATTATGTTTCCTAACTTAGCTGTATGTGGAAGAGTAACACAAAATACTGAGTAGCTATGTGTTCATGATCTATTGATTAAACAGTTAAGATCCTTTGGAAAAGTTAAAATGTGATCATGTGATGAGAAACTACCAGAATGCATGTTTACAAGAGCACTAATTAAAGATTAGGACGTGCTTGTGCATGCAGCTTCAAGTGTTAGGCTTTGACACAGTGGCAGTATCTGCTAAATCATGGAATTTAATGTAAACCTAATTAACACATCCAAGCATGCTGTCTGGTCCTGTTATGCTAGAATTATTTAGAGCCAGCTATGTTGCACTTCTGTAGGGCTTACTTTTATAGAACCCTCTGAAAACTGTCATGCTCTGGAAATAAAGAGGAGACTTCCTTCAGCAAAGGATGTCTCCACCTTTCCCAACTGTTGACAAGTCAAGAGAGACAAAAAGTGATTCTTTTACACCATACCTGTAACAAAAGGTTATGGAAAAGATGCAGATCTGAGTTAATGGTCTAATAGTTAACAGTTCCTCACCGAATCTAGTGAGAGAAGAGTACTCTCTGCCTTTGATCTTTCAGGTCATGTGGCTGCTAAATACAAAATTGACTTTTGGTAACTTGGTGAGGATAACCAAATAAGAGGGTGGTTTATTTCTTTTGCTGCTTCCCTTTTGATCTTGAATTATTACAGTTTGAACTGCTACTCAGTGATAACACAAAATATTCTTTCAAATTTTATTTTTTTATTTCTTTGAGAGGCTGATATGTTTCAAGCAGTCTATACCCTTCATCTCCGCTTCTTGTTAACAAATACTTTTTTGTTTTAAAATAAATAAGTTCTTTACCTTAAGCATTGAATCTGAATCTAGGTTTACTATCATACCACGAGTGTAGTGTTTTTTTTAATTTTAGATAATTTTCTGTTGTTAAAGCACACTGTAACTTTACTAAGTAGCTTTAGAAGGCTAAATGACTTGAAAATAACTTGTCTAGTTTAACTTAATGCATGTCGTGCTATGACATTAATACATAATGCAAGAAACTATTTGAGTTTTTTATTTGCATTTATTTACATTTTTATGTGCTTTCTATCTGCAGATTTATTTTTAATAAATGGTTCAATTCAATTCAATTTAATTTCAATAAATGGTTCATTCATTATTTTTAAATAATGGTTCAAGCCAGCTGTGAGAGGACCCTATGTTCTGATAGTGATTTAACATTTCAGAATCGCCAACTCACTTCATCTTTTGTACTTTGTTTTGCCGTGCACAAAAAATGGGAATTGGCTGGGCTGTATTCGTGGTGTTTTTGTTAATCTTAACTAATGGTGGTAAGGTACATTAAATACAATCTGTATACACCTGTTGTTTTTATTTTGATTGTGTCACTCTCATCGTTAAAAAGTGACATCTATAGACTGTCTCATGTCTGAAGAGGAGACTTTTCTGAGGGATAGCAAGCATGTTGGGAATCAGATAGCACAAAAGCAAGCTCCTCTTCTGACTCTTGTACAATTTATTACTGAAGAAATGTTTTATTTGGAAAAAGACATCCTGTAAATTGAACTTATTTTTCAAGACAATGTTTTAAGCAATATTTACATTGTTTTCACAGAGTTGTTAAAGAAAAACTAGATGATTCCGTTACAAAGGAGAAAACAGTTGATTTTAAAAAAAAAAAAAAAGTTCAAAGTAATCTCATTTTTTTTTAATTACTGTGTTGTGTTCTAGGCCTCAAAGAAACTGCTGAAGAAATGGTCAAAAACAGGTTGGAAGGAAAGGATAACCTAACTCCATGGCAAAAATACCTAGAAAAGAAGAAAGAAAAAAGAATTCTTAAAAAAAAGAGAAAGGTAATGTTTGCATTTGCCACTTTGCTGGCAGTTGTTTGTTTGTTTTCTTAAGTTGCTGGTATTGTTTGTTTTGGATAAACTAAATAAAAAATTCTGTAGCTTCCAGTACTCTTTTAAGGTGTGAATGTGCAGTGGTCACTTGTTTGGAAAGACTGAGAGTGCCTCATCAAACGTACAGAGAAAAATGTTGTTCAGGGTACTAGTGAACATAGATAATATGCTTAAATAAAATTTTGTTTATCTACTTGTGTTGCTTTAAAGAGAAATGAGTCATAATAACAGTTGGATTTTAATTTATATTTTTGAATGATTCTGTGAATGCATTAGGAATGGTGTTTTTGCTACAGTATACATAGCAGTTCAAAGTTGTTATGATCATGATAACTGTAGTTTTGGAAATTTTTGGCCTAAAATAATAGACTTGTTTCCCAAAGCTGTTAACGGCAAAGATATAATAGCCAGGAAGAACTATTCAAACTTCAGATTGCGAGAGCAAATTTGATAACTAGTTCTGTGTATGAATAACAAAATAGTCCTATAGTAATGTCTAAATTGCTGTTGCTTCATCTTTCTACACTCAGAAAGCAATTGTGGAGCGGCAGTAACATGCAGAAATAGGCAGATAAATGAAATGTTTGTGCATATGCTAGGAAAAAAAAATCATATGGTAAACAGAATCTAGCTTCCCTAAATTTTTTAATTACTCTGAATACAATTCATGTTGCAGAATAATGTTTTTAAGTGTAATCTCTGGAACCTGAGTTACACTGGGTATTGCAGTTAGTTTTAACTGGCATTTGATGAGTAACCTTACAGAAAATGAGTGTTCTGAATAGAGTAGGTAGGCACTGTTAGGTAGTAGAGCAACTTTTGCTAGCATAATATTCTTATTCAGCCTGATAAATAAAGTTAAGGGGCAAAGGGTATGACACAATACATCCAGTAATAACATTTGATCTTCTAAACCTGAACTCAGTCTTTTTGAATTTCAGAGCACAAAATGAAGCTCATTGCTCAAGTTTTTCCCCAAGTAGAGTTTTTGTGGAACATAAAGTAAGGACATGACAATGCTGTGATTCTCTAACTTGGTGGTATGGGTAGCTAATGCATCACAGTTTGTGGGTACATCTAATAAAGATCCTTGGAGTATATAAACAGCCCTTCTTTAGATACACAAAAAATTCTGTGTAAATTAAAAAAATCTTTCAATCTGTGAAACATTTTAAATGGTTGATTTGTCTTTACTAGCAATTTTTAGTGTATTCTAGTTTTATGATGTTCAGTGTTCAGTATTTCAGTTTTTACCTTCGAAGTTACTAACAGAAGGAACATCTAATTCCAGTGAAAGGTAACTAGTAATTTGTATGTTGCTTGAAATAATGTTTGCACTTTGTTACAGGCTACTGCTGAGAGAGAACAGAGTGAAGATGAACTTCCACCTGATGTTGATCTCAATGACCCATATTTCGCTGAAGAACTTGAGAAAACAGGTGGGTCAAGACAGGTGACTTCTGAAATAGATTTGTCCTTTCTTTAAATAGTCAGCTTTAGAAACAAAGTTGGGCGAGAATAAATGCAGAGGTAGCATGTTCAGAATGAAATAAAGTAGATGTAATTTGGCTAAAATTGCAGGTACTGTTCTTGTAAAATAACACATATTGTGGTTTGTGGAACAGCGGGGAACATTGTTCTCTTAGCTTTCATCAGATGCCGTTATTTAGCCAGTTTCTGGGGATGGCTGTTAGAAACAAGCTGACCATCTGCTCCCATAGATATTCCAGAGAAAAGAACTTCATTGCCTTCGAAGCCTGTTCCTTTTTATATAGGAGGAGACAGATATGTATGGGTTTCTTTGAAGTTTGGGTCAATTACATAAATGTCACATGGTTCTGCATCATAAACAAAGTTGTCTTTAAGAATAAATTAATTTTCTCTTAGTCTGATACATGTTTTTACTAGTGTACTCTGGCCGCCTAGAAACCCAAGTAGTGAAATGTAATATTTTAGGAAATAACTTCTCCAGTTTAGATTTTTAGGATAGCTTTTTTGCAGATGTTTTAGTCTGATGTTTAAGTTAGCTTTTGCTGCGGTAACAGCAAATTTATTTGGAGTATGATTTTGCTGGTTAAAATTTTAAGGTAGGGATAAGCAATAAGTATGAGTTTCCTGGCTTTCCATGCTTTTGGGAGCCAAAACCTAAGGGTGGCTCACACTATTGTATATTAAAAGAAGAAAAAAAAAATGACAGAAAAAAAAAGTCATGAGAAAACAAAGAAAAAGAAGATAGCAGCAGATTTACAAATATCAGCAGTCTGTTGTTTTGGTTTTTTTTTTTTTTTTTTTGAGCATGAAAGTGCAGATCCAAGTTCCATTTAAAAAGAGTAAATTACTTTTGAGACCAGCCTGTAAGTTTATATTAGGAGAAAGTAAATAATTAAAAAGCAAAACCTGGACTTCTTTTTCTTTAATGTGCTTATGTCTTAATAGTCTGAAGTACAGAACAGTAGGGTGAGTTCTGTCCATGTTTTATAGAAAATACCACAATTTAAGGTGTCATGGAATGCTGTTTTCTGCCATACTTTGCTGGTAAGTTGTGTATATGTTATTTCAGGACTTATTGTAAAGATGCCATTCCTTCTACTCCTTTTTTTTTTCTTTTCCCCCTTACTAGGAAGGTGATGTAGGTACTGTCATACTAATATTTGATGTTTCAACGTTCTATGTGAAATCTCTGAAAAAAATGTTTTCTCCTGCGTTATGTAAGAAATTCTTTGTGTCATGGAGGGGCACAGCAGAGAAGGATCTGCAGGTTCTTAAACCTTCATGATACAGACGACGGGCTTTTAGAGTGCATGGAGTCTTTGAGGACATAAAATGGACATAAAGGTTAACAAAGTGAAGCTATTGTCTGCAAGATTTACTGATAAGTCACTGAGAAAGAGGAGGAAAATTGAATGTGGCTAGCCCTGGAGAAGTTTTAAAGGGAGAGTAGAGTGGTTGGCTGAAAGCCAGTGGACATTTTAACGATAATTACATAGCACAACTTTGGCTTTCACCACATTTACCCTGACACAGCCTCTGTTTCATAGCTGGGGTTGTTTTTAAGCACAGCTAGCTTATCCAGTTGGGGAAAATGGGTTGCAATCTTCTTGGAACTAGGCTGTAACTCTGCCAACTTTGTATCCAGGGTACAGGCAGCAGTAACTTGAATGATTGTAATTTTTCATAAGCCTTCCACAGTTCTCCTGAAAGACTGAAATTTCTCCCTTACACTGACTGTCAGATGATCTTAGATTATGCTGAAAAAGCATATGACAGGATACGTTTGCAGACTCAGGTGTACCCGTGAGGGTGCAGTAGTGCTGTTAGGGTTTTGCAGTGGTGTATTGGCTCCCATGCTGGATTTGCTGGTTGACTGTAATGTGTATGGGTCTTGTGTAAGTTTGTTTTTGACAAACTGAGGCAATTGAAGGGAAGCAAGAGTATAAGGAGCTGATAGCCGAAGAGACTAACAAAATTGAGTGCTGTGGAAAGAAAAGTGGAAATTATGGAAAGGCTACTCAAGCGAATATTCATCAGGTTTGTCTTTGTTCCTGATAACTGTAAAGCAGGCGGTGATTCTTACACTGTGGATGCTTCATCATGAGAGAAGCAAGGCAAAGCAAATTCTTTGTGCCTACTGTACTCAAAGCGTGTCTGTGCAGGGTACAGGTGTGTGCAAATTAGCACTCCTGAAATTCATAACAGCCCTTGCTTTGCACAAAGTTTTTGTAAGTGCATAATTTCTATGTGGTTTTTCAGTAGTACCATGGGCTAAAATGTAAAATGCTGCATATATATATGAGCCTTGATGTTGCATTTCAGAAGCTTGATTTTAGTTTGATATTGTCAAGAAAAAAAAAATCATTTGTCGCTTTGATTTTATGTAATTTCAAAAAATGTTGTCTATCTTTCATTTGGCTTGGCCAACTTCAGTTTTACTGCATCTGTTTCTATGGGGTCTCAGAAAAGGTTCACACAGAATCATATAATGGTTTGGATTGGAAGGGACCTTAAAGATCATCCAGTTCCAATCCCCCTGCCATCAGCAGGGACACCTTCCACTAGACCAGGTTGCTCAAAGCCTCATCCAACCTGGCCTTGAACACTTCCAGGGAGGAGCATCCACAGCTTCTCTGGGCAACCTGTTCCAGTGTCTGACCACCCTCACAGTGAAGAACTTCTTCCTAATATCTAATCTAAACCTCCCCTCTTTCAGTTTAAACCCATTTCCCCTTGTCTTGTCATTAGTTGCCCTTATGAAAAGTCCCTCCCCAGCTTTCTTGTAGCCCCTTCAGGTACTGGGAGGCCGCTGTAAGGTCTCCCTGGAGCCTTCTCTTCTCCAGGCTGAACAGCCCCAACTCTCTCAGCCTGTCCTCATAGGAGAGGTGCTCCAGCCCTCGGATCATCCTGGTGGCCCTTCTCTGGACTTGTTCTAACTGGTCCATGTCTTTCTTATGTTGGGGGCTCCAGAACTGGACGCAGTACTCCAGGTCAGAATTATGTCAGAACATAGGACAGAATTACTTTTGTAGCTTAACCTGTTGAAAGGTTAATAGCTGAATCGTGTAATTGCTTATTAATGTGAGAGCAATGTCCTGCTTTTGGAGATCACTGAATAGTTTCATAACACTTTGGACTATTAAATTCAGTTTCTATTGATCCTTCTTTGAGGAAAAGGGCTACATGTCTTTACACACTATCACAACTCCTATAGGTTCCAAACCATTTACATGCTACCTTGTGATCTAATTTATGATATACGTAGGAACTGATGGCTTTTTAATGCTGCGGGGTAGCAGTATAACAGCAAAATCTGACTATAGTTGTAGAAACTGTACTTGGAAGAGAAAGGTTTTAGCTGTATTGGTGATTCATTTACTGTATGGCTTTGCAAGGCTTTTGAGAATGACTTTCAAGCTTCTGAGTAAGACAGAGGAGAGATCTTGTGAGAGGAGTTTTTGGTCTTGGGTCAATCTCTGTATTTGAAGTCTCAAAATTACAATTAGCTTTTACTGTTAGCACTGGAAAGTTGTTGATGTGCGAATGAATATTGCAGACTAAATTCTTGAACTGAGAAGGAGCCAAACAGCAACTTGAGGGGGGATTGCAGCAGAGACTAGAAGCTTTTCTCACCGGCTGGTGAGAGCTATCCGTTTTGCATAGCATTGAAGAGAAGTATCTGCTGCTGTAGGGTGGACCAAATCTGATTAAAAGTTGGCAGTAGGGATTAGGTGGTAGGTAAAATCTAAGGGTTTGGAATCAGTTGGGGAGGATTCTTATCATAGGTGTGCAAAAGATGGGGGGGACTTCCTGAATGCAGGTGGGGACAGGGAGTACATCAGGAGAAAGAGAAAACTATGTATTTGTCAATTATGAAACCAAATTCTTTTCAGCATGATACAAGGTTTTTAGTGCTCAGAGGGATTTTGGGTACCAGGCTGGTTTTAGCTGCGTAGGGTCATAGTAAGACATAAATAGTTTGGTCCTAGCGCCTGGTTCACCTCCATCTGCAGCAGCAGAAGTCTCTGAGGGATGAAGGTGAGCTATCTTCGCTTCTGTGATTCTACATACAGTGAAAGATGAGGGAAGATGACTTGAGGAGCTGTTCTTTTGGGGATAGGTGGAAAGGCTAAGAGATTTACTGATTGAACTTCTGGAGCAACTCTCTTCAATTTGTATCTCTGTGCCCTTGTTTACTTTTCTGTAGTTTAGCCAGTTCTGGGAAGATACAAAAGATTTTGTAGTTGTTGAATTCTTACATGAGACATTTATTTCTCCCTTCTACACATAGGCGTAAATTGTGCAGTTTAGGTAACAATATTATATCTGAATCTGATTTTCCTGCACATTTTCTGAAACCACTAAATCAACAGTTTAGTTCTTGAACTGATGACACTGCGCATCTGGATAGTTTATTTTTTGGTGGTGGTGGTTTGTTTCTTCTAGAAATCCATTTCCAGCTTGGAAACCATTTAGAAATAGTCAAGAGAATAGTCAAAGGAGAAAAAAATGTTCTTCAAGGAATGTGTCCTGTTCCAGAGCGTACTTAGTGATGTAGCCTGACATTTTTCTGGCATGTTCGTATTTCTAGTCTGACTACAAATCTGGCTTAACAAACTGGAGCCAAATATCTTCCTTAAGAGTACCCCCAGTGGGCTGTAATAAATTGCCTGGGAACGTAATTCCAAGCTCAAAGGTCAGAGTGTGTGGTTCAGGTCAGGAAACCTTCTGCTTTTCCTGCTCCTTCTTGATCGAGGTCTACAAGCATTCCAAAGAGAATAATTTGATTTCGTAGGATTTATAAAATCGGGTCTGTTTTCATTAAAATTTATGTTTGACTAATGTCTTATGCTGTTACTATTCTTTAGCTGTCTAATCAGCACTGTGTATCTAAAGTAAATTCTAAGAGAGTAAGAAAGCTTCATCAGAAGAATATTCCATTTGGTCTGAACAGAGTCAATAATATTTTCATTCCTGATTCTCTTCAAGTCTTTTTTGCAAGGGCTTTTTGAGCTAGCACAGCTAACAGCACAACATGGTCTTTTAGCCTTGCATGTCAATTTTATAAAAGCAGTTTACAGAAACTGTTTGTCTTTTTCTTTTCTTTCCCCCCCCCCCCCTTTCCTTTCTTCCAATGAAGTCTTTTTCAGCTAGTAGACTTGTGTTCTAGATACAGAGAAGAGATGCACATTTGCTTTTTATTCTAAAGTATGTACTACGTTGTCTACTGAAGTAGAAAGAATGAACAATTTCAGAACTGCAGGACACTTCAATGACATTTATGAGTATATAAACTAATTTCTTTTTAAAACACCCTGGGAGTGGAGTAATGTCATATGATTGCTTGTGCTGTTGTGATACTTCTCTCTACTGCCCTATGAAAAATACAGTAAAACAATTTTTTCTAACTGTTCTTTTTTGTTGACTTGTTTGAATATTGCTGCCTTCTTAAATTAGACAAATATTCAGCAGATGTTTATTGCTTTAAGTCTAGCTGGTTTGTTTGGGGTTTTTTTTTTTTCACTTTTCAGCCTTTTTCCACATCTGACATTAAGTATTGATTACAAGAAAATGAGATACACTTAGAGGTTCTATTCATAGGTAAATTATGCTCTCATGCATAAGCTTGAATAAATGTGTGCATGTCCTATATTTGCACGTAGGTTTAAAGAAGAAGCCAGAATCGGTTGAAAGTACCTCAGAAGATGACGATGAAGTTGAAAAACAGAAGGTGAAGTGGTTTAAAGTGTTAAGAATTACAGATGTTGCATTGCCTGAATGGTGCAGATATTTCTGTTACATGTTTGTGAGTGGAACTACTGAATTCCATAGGACAGCAATAGAAGAAAACTGTATAATTTTAATAGTGAAAGCTTTTGGAACAAAAACTATCCAAGAAGAATGGTAGATGGTCCATGCTTTGATGTTTTAAGATAACGTTCTGGAAGATTATAGTTGAACACAGCTCAACAGAGTTGGGTAACACTGAAATGTAAGGGCACAAAAGCCGTACTGGTTGAGCTGATAGTCTCTCCAGCTTTAAAGCTATCCCAGTCTGTCTCTTGGGTGGTGCTGAACATTTACTTTTAACATCAGCATTGTGTGAAACATTTGTGTGTTCAGACCTTCTCCCGTAGACTTTTAACCTTGACGAATTGTTTGTTATTGCATGTTTGCTTTTTGTTCTTTCTCAGAACAAGTTAACTAAATAAATTTATTAAATTCATATATGTTAATTTTTATTTTGCTATATAAATCGCAATATAAAATTGTACCTGTTCGTGATTTCTAAGTTATAGTGTACAATTTTAAGATTAGATTGTTAGTATGTTTGAAAGTTGAATGAGAGTATTTGCATTTATTTTATGTCTAATAAAAAGAAAATCAACTGTTGTACGTAATACTCCCACTTCAAAATGTTAAAAGAATGTTGTTATGGATGAAATAATACTGCTCTGACAACCCTCTTTCAACTCATTTGTATGTATGTAGACACATAGACTTAATTAACAAGATGCTGTATTTTTCATAGAAAACTTAATTTCATTGTGTACATGGACTTTCTTATTTTGTAACAGGCTGAAATGGCCCTGCTTATGATGGATGATGAGGATGACGCCAGAAGACATTTTAATTATAAAAAGATTGTAGAACAACAGAATTTGAGCAAGAGGAAAAAGAAACTTTTAATGAAAAAGAAAGAATTACTAGAAGATGACTTCCAGGTAATTGTGTACTCTTGATCTTGAGGCTCAGCTAGAACATTTGTTAATTATTTTCAGGACAAATTTGGTGGTTTCATATCCTTCTCCTCCCTTACTCTATCGGAAGGAGAATAACTAGATCTACCTTTTTAGGGAGTTACAGGCTGTTTTCAAATGCAAGAAATATTCTGATACAAGGTTGAAGGGGAACAGATTCAAACTCTATGTAAGATAACAAGACACTTATTGATACAAGCCGTACAACTCATTGCCTAAAATACTCATTGGTATGTTTGTTCTGATTGTTACCCGCTGCTTCTTTTGTCTCAGTCAGTTCTCAGCAACAAACCTTTCCTTGGTCTGATGATAGAGGCATGTACAGGATTTGTACAAGCATTTACTTGTCCTTTTTACCAATAGTATCTTCTGGCTCTCTACCTCGCACTCACTGGGATTTTGTGACTGGAGCAGTTCCAGGAGTGGTGAACAATCTCCTGAGTTATGACTTTTTAAGCAGCTCATATTTTATTGTGCTTAAAAGGTTTGCTATGGTGGGTAAAGTTTACCTAAAATAAGTACTCCTTTTCTGCCTTCAGGTAAATGTTGCTGATACAAGATTCCAAGCCATGTTTACTTCTCCCCTGTTTAATTTGGATCCTTCAGATCCAAATTTCAAGAAGACAAAAGCAGTAGAAAAGATCTTGGAAGAGAAAGCTCGCCGAAGAGAAGAAAAGGAGCAAGATCTTAAGGAGGCAAGCAAGGAGCAGGAGAACAAGACAGCAAAGAAAGAAGTTGCTAAGAAAGCCATAGATCCTGCCTTGTCAATGCTAATAAAATCTGTCAAAAATAAAACCGAAGAGTTTCAGGCAAGGAAAAAGCAGAAATTCAAATAACTGAACTTTGTTTTTACTCAGATTTTACTTTAGTCTCAGTTCTTCTAACTGGCAACATCTAGTAAAGTTGCTACAGCCTGCTCTGATTCCTGTTCACCTACAATTTTCCAGAAAATCACCTAATTCTGGTGGTGAGTTTTGAAGTAAATAGAATAATAATCATTCTTTCCTTCTGCCACAGCAAATACTGTTTTGTACTATTATTGAAAAACTACACCTTGAAAACACTGAAGTAAGGAACTGATGGTTTTAGGGCTGTTTGTTTCGTATCATGCCATCTTTTAAAGATAATAGAAGAGCTGAAGATGGTTACAAAAATTAGCTGTAATTATGGTTGTATTTATAAATAAGGAGAACACTTCTGCAAAGGTTTAGAGCTGAGCCTAGGTGGTCTCAATGTCTTTAATCCCATAGAAATCTGTAAAACAGATCTCTGTTGATAAAGAAGGTAGTAATATAACTAAAAAAATTGAAGAAATTTTATACAGGGTTTTTTGGTATATTTTTAAAATTTTCATATATGCTTCATTAATTTCTCCTTTAAATACTTGAATACTTCCTGGATGATACTAGATCTAATGAATGGAAAAATTGCCATTTAGAAGTGTTTCATTAATATATATTGGAAATAAATTGTTTAAATTGGCCTAACAATTTTGGGCACTGAGCTGTGTTTTCTTTTTCTGCACTTAAATGAAACTATGTCAAAATTAAACTTTCTGCTATTAATATTGTATTTTCATTAATACAGTTACACTTATACAAAGTCTTCCAGCATTGCAAGTGTTTAAAAAAAAAAAACAAAAATAGAGGCAGATCTAGATGATACAATTTTAGAAACCCTTTTCTTTGGCCGTATTAGTATTGGTGATGAAGGTATCAACAGTGCAGGGAAAACAGAGTAAGTAGAAAATGATTTTTCTTCCCCGGAGTGTGGGAATTGATTTGTCTAAGTTTTGGTTTGGGTTTTTGTTCTGTTTTGTTTTGGGTTTTTTTAAGTGTTTGTTAAATTAACTCTAATGGAAGTAAAAAATTGTATCAAAGAAGAACAAAAATATTAGAAACAATCATAGAATCATAGAATGGTTTGGGTTGGAAGGGACCTTAAAGATCATCCAGTTCCAACCCCCCTGCCATCAGCAGGGACACCTTCCACTAGACCAGGTTGCTCAAAGCCTCATCCAACCTGGCCTTGAACACTTCCAGGGAGGAGCAGCCACAGCTTCTCTGGCCAACCTGGGCCAGTGTCTGACCACCCTCACAGTGAAGAACTTCTTCCTAATATCTAATCTAAACCTCCCCTCTTCCAGCTTAAAGCCATTTCCCCTTGTTTTGTCATTAACTGCCCTTATGAAAAGTCCTTCCCCAGCTTTCTTGTAGCCCCTTCAGTTACTGGGAGGCCGCTATAAGATCTCCCCGGAGCCTTCTCTTCTCCAGGCTGAACAGCCCCAACTCTCTCAGCCTGTCCTCATAGGAGAGGTGCTCCAGCCCTCTAACCATTTTTGTGGCCTCCTCTGGACTCATTCTACCAGGTCCATGTCTCTCTTGTGTTGGGGGCTCCAGAACTGGACACAGCACTCCAGGTGGGGCCTTATGACAGTGGAGTAGAGGGGAAAATCCCCTCCCTCGACCTGCTGGCCACGCTTCTCTTGATGCAGCCCAGGACACGGTTATTGGCCTCTGGGCTGCAAGCGCACATTGTCTGCTCGTGTTCAGCTTCTCGCTCACCACCACTCCCAAGTCCTTCTCTAAAAACAAGGCACTGAAAGGTAATTTGTAGTTGTAAAGAAGCACACTAGTGTTTCTATGAAGTACATGTATGTCAATATGTAAAGGAAATTACTGAGTGAGATTTAACTCATGAGAAGCTGCATATCTAATGGCCAAAATGGACAAAGTAATTAAGGGATACAATACAGGGACACAGGTGGAGATGGTTTTTGCAAGAGTGCTTTCCAATGATGTGGCTGAGGAATACTTGCAGACCTCGAATATTTCAAATGTAATTGCTATTCATGAGCATTTGAACATCCTCAGATTCATTTTCAAGTAGCTAATGGAAAAAGTCAAGGTATTACAGTGTCTTTTATACATAACTGATTGAGCTTCTGTGGCTTCTTAGCTTCTGAAGCAATACGGCAGGATGCAGCAAATCCATTTTGTAGTTTGAACTGACCAGCTATGATGGAGAACAAGGAAAACTTGTCCCACTGGAAGCCATGGGAAACATGAGTGTACAGTGGGAAACAGCATAATGATGTTTGGCAATTTACAAACAGAGGAAAGAAAGATGCTTTGGGAAACATAATTTTCCACCAAGGGAAGTGTCCCTGCATCAAACAGGAGCACCAATGGTTTATGCACTTGTTTGTGCATTGGTTTGAGCACCAGTAGTTGTGGAGCACTTAAGAAAATGTCATACAAAAGTGATAAAAGTGCACACATACACCCCTGACAGAGATGGTGGATAAGGAGACAAGCTTCTCCCATAATGAAAGATCACACTAATTTTATAATAAAATTTGCAGCATGGAAAACTAAGTAGTAGTCCTTAATGCATTTTCTTCAGCCCAGCACATGCTATGATTTCCAGGCACAAAGCAGTGACACCAAGCTGAAAGGGTAAAATTTAGACAGAGCACATACTTGTGTAGATTTTTTCTAAGTGTGTTCACTGTGTGGCTTATAGATTGTAGGCATATGAAATGCACTAGGGACAGTAGCTGGAATTGAATGAGCCTGAGAGGTTGGACATACTAGTGTTAGCGGTGATGGAATGGCAAGCATTTATGTATAAAGTGTGGGGAAAACTGCACAGCTGAGAACAAACACAAACGGTCTGAACAGAAACAGGAATCGGCTGAATGCTCCACCTAGCCCAATGGTCTCTGACTGTGGCTGGTGACAGGAGATACTAATGCTGCACTTACAATATCACACCTTGTCAATGGGGAAGTGGGTAAGTTTATAATTGTTTTAACTGTTTCTTTCAGAAACACAGCTTGGATGGGACTAATTGTTGTAGGTACCTACTTTGCAAGGAACACCAGAGTTTTATTCTGTGTTGGTGTGCTTCCAAATTCTCTTTTCATACTGGGTCCACAGACAGTCTCCCATAACTTTGTTTAATAATTTATATGGAAAAACAAATTGGATGAGGGATGAAAGGCAACAAAGTGCGCTGTCTTTTGAATCCTCTAACCCTGCCACATTTTACCAAATGCTTCTGGTTGGATGCATTTGATGTGCATGCTCTTACAAAGGAGTGTTCCTTGTTTGTACGCTAGCAGTAGGCACAGCCTGCTGTGTTTGACTTCCTGGCAGTGGCTGAGAAGAGTCCCTTGAATTAGCAGTGCTTTTCTTTTTGGCTCGGTGCTTTTAGAACTTTAATGGAAAACAACACAAGGCATCGGTGAATCTCCGCTCCTCCAGAACACCCAGTTATGCGGAATGACTCACTGGTACAAAACTCTCCAACAGAACTTCTGTACTGCTGCAATGCATCTGTCCTTTACAGCAAGTTTGCTGGAGGGACAGTGATGACTTCTAATTGAAATTACATGGTTTAAGTTGTGTTGTGCTTTTTCTTCACGCATACATGTGCTGGCTAATTTCTTCCAGTTAGGAAGCCTAGCCTGTATTTGGAAGTCATAGCAAGACAAAATGCAGAAAAATATGAAGGCAAACTTGACAGTGATATGAAATATTGGTTGAAAAAAAAAAAAATTATGTTGCTGTGTGGTAATGCATATTTGGTATCATACATGGCTTAACGTATGATAATTTTATTTAATCAGATGTTCTATTTGTTGTTTTTGTTCTCAAGTTGCTGAGTCCTGAGGGGGCATCTTGGTTGGGAAGAACTACAGGATGTGTCCCAGAATGCATCTTAATTGGAAATTTTTGGTCTCTTTATAAAATGATTAGGTCTAAATCCTCTTTCCCCACCCTGTTCTTTTTTTAAAAATCAGGTTATAAATTACTAATTACTAAAGGCTCAAAGCCCATCATCTAATCTCCATAATTCCAGAACAATGCTAACAAAATGTGGGGTGATTTCTTTCGGTTTTCAGCAGAAGCGTACCTTGGAAGTTTCGTAAGAAGTGGTCATGTCTCATCTAGAATTCCTTGCGTTCATTGCCCTTGGTGTAAACAAAAGAAAGGATGTTTTTGAGCATCTCATCCTTTTAAACATCAAAATATGATCTAGAAGTTCTAAACTCTGAACTTTAAAATGTTATTTTATTTTTCCCTTTCACTAAATGTCATGTAAGCAGCAAAAGTGACAGCAATTAAGTAAAATAACACATTAAAAAACAAGACTGTAAAAAGTGAAACAGAACTAATTTTTCTAGCAACTTATGGAGGTCTGCTCTAAAGTAGTTTGTCTCCAAGTTGGCAGCCATCAGAGCTCATGCTAGAGTGTAAGCCAGACATTTAAGTATCTAATATTACAAGTGGAAATCACAAGAGGGTTTGATTTATTTAAAAAACAAGGAAGATCAGACAACCAGAGATGAAGAGCCATGTATGTTTTCTATTATTCCTTCCTTCTAAAAATTAAATGTATTATTTCCAATTAATAGCAAGTTGGCTTTTTGTTCTTTTCATATTTCAGTATGTCCAAAAATAACAGTAAGTTGTGCTGTCGCATATTTTTTTAGCAAACACAACAACCAACCAAAATACAGTGGGTTATCTTTAAAGTCTTAGAAACTTATGTTATATATAATATATATTTAAAATTATTAGAGTAATTAGGTTGTTTTGCACTTGTCTTAAATCATGAATACCTCAACCTCGGTTTTGTAGTACTGAGACAAACAACAAAAGCAGTAGTTCTGATGGCACAGTAATTTTCATTATTTTTCTTCATAGAATACTTCAAAAAACTGCAGCCTTTTGAATGTAAAAATGTACCTTTTCATGCACACGAGTGTGTTACTGTATTCCTGTAAAAAAGCAAGACAAAATGGTGGAAAGGTCTATTGCCTTGTGTATCTGTGCCTGACATACAGTGTTATAAATGGGAATATTTTTGTCCAGGCTGTGGATCCAATCTAGATTAATGTCGCTTAAGGTCATAATTATTTTATATGCTCCTCAGCACCAGTATATGAGTAATCCCTGCTCAGTACTATTCCAGCTCTGTATTTCAGCCATGCGAGACTATGCAAGTTTAAACAACATTGCTTCTAGTCTCCAGTGAGTGCCCTG